CATTACATACATACATTCTACATCCTACATTACATACATACATTCTACATCCTACATTACATACATACATTCTACATCCTACATTACATACATACATTCTACATCCTACATTACATACATACATTCTACATCCTACATTACATACATTCTACATCCTACATTACATACATTCTACATCCTACATTACATACATTCTACATCCTACATTACATACATTCTACATTACATACATATATTCTACATCCTATATTACATACATATATTCTACATCCTATATTACATACATATAATCTGCATCCATGCCACTCATTCTACATCCTATATTACATACATACGTACAATCTGCATCCATGCCACTCATTCTACATCCTATATTACATACATACGTACGTACAATCTGCATCCATGCCACTCATTCTACATCCTATATTACATACATACAATCTGCATCCATGACACTCATTCTACATCCTATATTACATACATACGTACGTACAATCTGCATCCATGACACTCATCCTACATCCTATATTACATACATACACTTCATCCTTGTGGGCGGACTCGGGGCTGGCCCAGATATGGAGCTGTGTCAGTGGCACTAAAATTTCTGATGGCGGCCCTGCCAGCATGGGGTGCCCAGCAAAAGTATAGGGGAAAACACCCTGCTTTGTTAGCGGAGAAATAGTAGTCGTAAAATTTCAGGACAATAAGGTTCTTGCTTTATGCATGATTTAATGTTAAATTGTGCTTGATAACGGGTCTTTAGTGTTCTATCAACCAATAAAGGTTTAATCTCACTTTTAAATTTGGTTACAAACTATAATTTTGATTTTTAGGTCTCGCATGATTCATTCATAATCTACAAAGAGGGGAAAAAAAAAAAAAAAAAAAGGTTGTGTAAAGAGATTAAATGTTCTACATAAGAATTATCCAGGGAACATTTTGTAAATGTTTAAAGAAAAACAATGTAGAAGTAGTTCAAAACCCAATATTATCTTCACTGAAAATTGCAGGTGAGGGAGAACTTTGTTAGGAAGGAAAAAAAAAAAAAAAAAACACAAAGTTTTTGACACAGGAAAGTTGCTCATGGCTGTCCTGCCTGCATTTCTAAGTAATATCATTACATTCCAACATTCATAGAATTAAATTCCTAATATTTTCTATTGTTAGATCGAGTTGTCCTTAAAACTAACCACCTTTAGAAAGGTCAGCCGGTTTGGAACATGTAATTGCTCTAAACTGAAGGCCTGTGACTATTTGTGTTTACCATTTATGTAACTATATTTGAAACCTTTATGATAATTGTTTACAGGTTACTCAAACTCAAAATAAAGAATTTGTAAACATGTATCAGAAGCATCTTTAGGAAAGTTTGAAAAACAAGACCTACCAGAATTACAAAAGGCAAACAGCAGGGGGCGGAAAATGGTGTAAGGTCAGGTCCATCCAAAAGGTAGATCCCTGGCACAACTTTCATTATGGTTTACCAGTAAGTGATAGTACAGCCTACACCAGAAATTTCAAACTCATTGGTCCTGGAGGGCCAAACCATCTATTGAAATAGTAGTAGGTAGGGAGGGCAGGCCATATCCATGACAGCAGTCACTAAATGGGTTTATATCCTCCCATAAACACCCATTGCGCAGTAAAAAAAAATAAAAAAAAAAAAAATAAAAAAAAAAAAAAATAAACCCCAAATAAGTCTGTCCCCTCAATTTAAATTTTTTTTCCCGTCCAATACGCGTTGTGTTTTGTGTTTCATTGCTATGCATGTACTGCCCTCAGCCACACACGGCTATATATACACACACACACACAAGTAACAATAGCTTTTAGCTTGCCTACCCAATCCATGGCTCATCGTAATCTGTGAAGAAGTGACCTTTCTCCCAGCAGGCCATTGAGAGATAATGTGAGTAGACAACCAGACACCTGATCTGAGAACTCGTGTCTCACACTGACCTAATCTGCCTCCACAACTGCCCTTATGTCTGCACTGCCTACATGCAGTCCCATCCACACTATTGTACACTCACAAATTATGTGAGTTACTGCTACTGGATGCTTTTCATAGTTTAGTATTCTGGGTTTTGTGATGGAAGCTGTCAGTGTCTGCTTCCTCACCAATTTACCAGTCCCTAGACAGCACCCACCCATCCAAATTACAGTTACTGGTGCCAGCACTACATTGCACCCCTGGTTTGCGGTTTGGGAGCCAGGGGAAAGTGACTTTTAAATCACTTTTCAGATCGTAGTGTGTACTCAGAGGAGCTCTTCTGCAGGACTAATTCCAGAGCTGCACGAGCTGTATGCAGCCTCCATGTTTGACAGTTCTAGGCCTCCACTACTTAAGTTATACCAATTTTATTTTTCTGTGGAATAAGGGTGTATGTAGAAGTACATCAGCATGCCTGAAGAAAACATTTACGTCCAGATTAGTCATATCCAAGTTTTGGATTTCTCTTATTAAAGAGACACTATAGGGTCAGGGACACAAATCTGTATTCCTGAGCCTATAGTGCTAAACCCACCATTTAGGTGGCTTGCCCTTCCCCGTAAAAAGTAAATAAAACTCACCATATTTCCGAACAGGTCAGTCTGTGCTGGCACCGTCTTTTTTGACATCAGAATTGCCGTTTTTTAATCCATAGGGAAAGCATTGGATTGGCTAAAATCAGCAAGGGGCAGTGCCAAACACTGATTTGGCCAATCAGCACCTCCTCCTAGAGATGCATTGAATCAATGCATCTCTGAGGAAAATTCAGCGTTCCCACGCAGAGTGTGGAGATGCTGACCGGAACCGCTGCCTACTGTGCAGCACTGAGCCAGGAAGCACCTGCAGTGGCCTTCTGAGGAGTGGTCACTTGGAGGTTTCCAAAGGAGCAATATAAATACTGCCTTTTCTCTGAAAAGACAGCGTTTGCATGAAAATATAATGCTTATTATGCACCAGAACAACCACATTAAGCTGTAGTTCTGGTAACTATATTGTCCCTGTAAGCTATTTTGGCTGACAGAATCCTTCAGCCACATACATGCACCTTGGCTCAGGCAGTGTTTGAAAAGTCGCTCTGATCTTTCCAGCTTCTATGCAGGGAGTGAAGCAAGGAAGATCAAGGAGACAGTTTTAAAAAAAGACTGTCTGGCCCAAACGGCATGCATAAAAAAAAATTAAAAAAAAATAATATGGCCGAAGGATCCAGTTATATACCCGCGGTAGGGAAGAGTCTCTATAAAATACATATAAAAAAAAAAAAATTAAAAAAATTTTTGGGAGGGGAAAGGTGTCCGTTAACTGTAGAGAGCCATTTATGTACATTTTGCATTTTTACACACATCTATTTGACATGGTAGTTGGAAAACCTGATAAAAGTGTGCATTATTTCAGACATTCCGTATATCATAACGATGCTAATCCATTTTACAAAATGGCCTTGCACAAAATTTTTTGTTTTATTTCGGTGTTGTTTAAACCCTGTTAGGACTCGGAAATGCATCACCACTAATTAAGCAGATACAATAAATTCACAAGGTTCTAGAATGCACAAAATACCTTACTATAGATTAACCAGCTTGTGTGTCACAGCAGAACAAGAGCCATAGGCTGCAGTCCCTGCAACCACACCTCTAACATAAAAGCAACGTGAGCTGCGGCTTACTAGCAACCCAACAAACAAGGACAGTCAGACACTAGGAGTAAATGGGGTTTTGTGCTGGCGAGAGGCCCATTGGATAATTCCATGCATAATTAATAGTTTAATTTTTCAGCGAGTTATGGATATTATGTGAGCACCCAGCAGCGGGTCCACATGCTTCATAGTGATGCTTATGACCCAAGTTTTGAAGAGAAAAAAAAAAAAACCACCACACACTACTTTCAACATGTCTATTATAGTCAAGCAGACTTTATAAAACCACCAAAATAAACTTTGGCTACCAAACACAAGTGGGTCTTGTTATATGCAGCTCTGCAATTTCAGTGCACACAATAAAAAAAAAAAAATACATTAAAAACCAGTATTGTTTTATTTTTGTTCACATAACCTTTTAACATAGCTAACAACCCCACCCACTAGTCTAAAAAAAGTTGAATAAAAACAGCTGAATTATTTTTAAAACAGTACAAAACATTCATATAACAAGAACTGAAATTGCTTCACTTTTAAAATTAAGTCAGTAGAAAAGTTGAATGCAGACATTCTCCAAATGAGGAGCCACACTAGTCATATGACCAACATGTGGCAAAAAAGAAATTCAGATTGGCTGTGCAGTCACATTATTTCATTACTGCATTAAAACCCCGAATACAATCAGCGCACAAACCAGTTCTTTCACATTTTGCAAGTCACAGATCAATTACATTACAAAATGTCCGATGTTCTTTTTCCATTATAAAAAGAAAATAAGGCCATCAAAATTGGCATCTTTAAAATAAAAAAATTGTATGAGAATACAAAAATAGTTGACGCTTCCAGAAGGCTCAGATCTGTTTAGAGGGAATATTCCAGAATCCAGATTACATGATAGCACAGCCTCGTTCCCCTTGCTGAAAAACAAAAACATTTTATATATCTAATGATCTTTTTTTAACCCCTTATATACAGTATCAGTGTATGACAGTATTCGTGGCCCCAACATCTCCGCCGCTACTGTGACACTAAAATGCTTTTTGGATGCACCAATCCGTATTAACCAGAAGGGGGAACAAAAAAAAAAAAAAATTAAAAATAAACTCTGTAAAGACCAGTTATTTGCCTTTTGTTTTCCATGACTAACTACATTACAGATCTGATAATCAGACAAAAATTGTTTGTGAAAGAGGGTATATACCATCAGATGCAAAACATTTGACATTTTAACTTTCAAACAAGGTTTTTCTGATGAAGTTTGTGAATTCACAAATTTTTAAAAGAGTTCATTAAGCACCAAAACCCCATTTTAATCTAATTCCAGACTGAATAAAGATTAATAAAAATGCCAATGCTTACATTTGTCTGAGTACATGCATCTAATGGCTGTTAGGAAGACATCCACTAGAAGCACTTGCTACTTAAAGGGACACTCCAGGCACCCAGGCCACTTCTGCCCATTGGAGTGGTCTGGGTGCCAATTTCCACTACCCTTAACCCGGCAACTGTAAATATTGCAGTTTTCATAAACTGCAATATTTACCTTGCAGGGTTAACTCTTCCTCTAGTGGCAGTCTACTAAACAGCCACTAGAGGACACTTCCTGGTTCATACCACATATTTTCTGTGCTATAGCGTCGCTGGACATCCTCACACTAAAATCCCCATAGGGAAGCATTGAGAGCATTTTTCAACGCTTTCCTATGGGGATGTCTAATGCGCGTGCACGGCAGCTCATTAGGTCTCATCCCGCCGGGGGAGGAGTGTGGGCAGACCCTGGACCAGCACCGAGGGACATCGGCGCTGAACTCCGGTAAGTCACTGAAGGGGTTTAAACCCCTTCAGCAACCTGGGATAGGGGACCTGTGTTTCCTGGCACTGGAGTGTCCCTTTAAAGGATAAATGTCATTTAAAAAAAAAAAAAAAAAAAAAAAAATTATATATATATATATATATATTTATATTCTTATGCATTTGAAACCAGCAGCAACATCATTACCATAAATGCTCCAAGCTTTTAGGCCTATGCCAAAAATTGCTAAATAACTGCATGCACACCCATTCATTTTATAGTACTATACCCATGAAAGTATGCTATTGTGTGAAGTTATATTAACAATGCCAGGACAGACAGGCAATATTTACAAACATAAAAATAAAAATATATAGACTCAAGTGAGATTTTTCTTCACATAAATAGCAAAGTTGTCATGGCCCCCAGTATGTACAAATCAAACTGCTTTGGCACACAATGAGTTTATGCTGGTTTACTGCAATTAGCTTTCTGATAGATAAACTAAAATACAAAACAATTCTAAACTAACTGTGGATGTTACAATCCAAATCTACATTGGGACCGATCAAGATCAACCTACATACCTTCTTACGGCGGGGTTCTTGTGTCTCTTCAAAAATGTCCTCTTCTTCCACCTCCACTTCTTCCTCTTCTGGTATAGTGGTTGTATACACAGTTTTCCTTTGAGCTACTTCCTGCAGAGACACAAGTAGATTAACCCTAACTAATACAACTTGTAGCCAACTGCCTTTGAACTGTAATTTACCATGTTAAAAAAAAAAAACAAATTAGAAACTTACACATAGTAGAAAAAAAAAAAAAAGAAAAGTGAACTAATTGACTGCTGCACCTTTGCACAATATATTTAAAGGAACACTAATGGGGAGGGGGAAGCCATTTAGTGGATAGACCCCAAGAAAACATGTACGCATCAATGGCTGCATGTTTTCATTGAGGATATATTTAAAAATAATCCCCAAACAAAAACCCCAAAACACATGTCTCCAGAATGGACATAATGTCCCACAAATAGGACTTTAAATTCCTTCAAGAACAAGGGAGTAAATCAGTAGCTCACAAAGGAAAAAGAAGGGCATTACCAATACTGAGCAGGTCCCTAGGTTACACCAGACTCAAGCTGGCTAAAGTTTGATTGTGATAAATAGAACAGCTTTGGATAAATTCTTTGAGCTACATTCTAGTGTAGTCTAAGCAAAATCTGACACCCATCCAGAATTTGCAGTATAATCCCTTGGTAGGACAGGTGTGGGTTCAAAAGGAACGGTCTTTGTTAAAATGATTTGGTGTCTTAATATGTCAATTCACTAAACTCAAAGTGGTAGCAAAATGTAATCTGAATGGCAAAATTCAATCTGACAGATTAAAATCACCTGCCTTAAAATGTTAAGTAGTATGCAGCTAGCAGAATCTGAATATGGATATAGCTATATATTTTTATTTTTATTTTTTTTAACACACATTTCCTCCTTCAGACAGTTGCAATTGTTAAAGGAGAGATTAAGGGCAGCTACCAGATTTCACATTATAATGTACAATCCATTGAGAAACCCCTAAACCACTAGCATAGGTTAACACAAAACTATAGCAATAGAACTTGAGACTTTTCAACCTGCACATATTTAATGAGTTTCTTTTTTGTGGTCAGTTTAACACAAAAACACACCTCTCCCTGAGAATTCTTCAGGATGACCTGGACATCTTCGCCAGTTCCCCAGGAGCTTTGGTTCTTCCAGATGAGATCAGATGGTGGACTTGCAGGAACTCCAGCATTTACAGCCCAGATCTAGTTTGAATAAAGATTGCATGTTTTTACAAGTTGAAATAGGGGAAATTAAACCAAAAAACGCAAGAGAATCCGCTACAATTTTATAAGGACATTAAATTTAACAAAAATAGTTTTTTGTTTTTTTTTTAACTATGGTAATTGGTGAGTGAAGCCAGCATATCTGCCTACCGTTACAGTCTGGGCTGCTTTGAGCACGTATCTTGAGGTAAACTTGTAATTCACAGACGTCTCTCCAATAGTTCTGGTCAATTCCCAGCCACCCAAAGGTTGATCCTGTGTAGAATTGTGTTAAAAAATAAAAAAAAAAAAGCAGGAAGAGTTTACAGACTTTCAAACATTGGCCCAAGAAAACTTCCATGTGTAAATAAACTAGTTAGTTTTAACGTTACTATATGTGGCCTTAAAAGTGTACATCGGCTAAAGATAAATCGCTTGTTTCTATACTGGTGGTCTAACATTGGGATATGTAATACAGACTCCCCCAAACCAAAATTTTGGCACTTTCAGGGTTATTCACTAGTGAGGATTGCCAGGAATTCAAAGTGAATTTCAAATTTAAGGTCAAAATAGTCAAACTGGAAGCATAGCTGACCCAGCAGCCTTACCTGCTCTGAATTGTTCTTAAGTCGGATAAATTTTCCATCAACATCCAGCTCATCAATAGACACGTTACCAGTTGCAGATGCAGAATGAGCAATGCTCACACTGCTGCTTGCCTCAGATTCCTCAACATCAACCCTCTTCCTTTTACCTTTAGTAGTGCGAACACTGCGGCTTGAGGAAGCTCGAGAAACGGTCACACGTGAAGATGGGCTTGGAGATAATTTCAATCTGGAAAAACATTGTGTGGTATTATTGCATACATGAAGTTCGAAATTAGATAAAATATATTCAGTAAAACGTGTGTAATATGAGGTACTCCAATAACTTAATATGCAGAACTCACTGGGTCCAGGGCTAAAGACAATTTGCAAATACAACAGAAGTTTAGGCATCAAACCTAGTAAGGGAGAACGTTGGAAGACCGGCCATATGAAAAGGTCACTTTTGTGGTTTATAGTAGGCCTCAAAGACATTTTATAAATGTGGTACCAGAATATGGAATCAAGAACTACAGTTTTGAAGGCTTCCTAGCAACAACAGCAAAAAAAAAAAAACACAGCAATCATGGTCCATATGCAAGGATACTTCACACAAACTTTAGAGCTCACAGTGTACAAATTGGGGAAGTGAAACAATGGTCTTACATATATACAGGTGTAACAAGTACAGCACTGGCTAAGAAATATACGAACAGGTTAGCAGACAAGAATGTATTTTACAGAATATATTCTTATAGGGTAATTTCTACAGGAAATGACTTGGAGGGCTGAATGAAAAGGTTTGGAGGGCACCCAAGTCAATCATGGTTAATGTTCCTTCACCAACATGTAGGACAGTCTCCAATAGAACAAGGTGTTACTGTTTTTTTTCCATGTGTTACTACACATCAATTAAATTGCTTACCTTTCCTCTTCGCCTTCCAGCAGTTTTCTGTATGCAGTGATTTCCATGTCCAGGGCTAGTTTCACATCTAGAAGTTGTTCGTAATCACTAAGCTGCTGCTGCATTTGATCTCTAATTTCTGCCATCTCCCTCTCCCTTTCAGCCAGTAGTCGTCTGCTGTTGTCCTTCTCCTTAGCCAGCATTTCTTCTAGTTCTTGCAATTGTTCTTGCCATGCTCTTGACTAGTGTTAAAAAAATAAAAATAAATTTTTCGGGCCGCACACAGCTATACCAGAAAGGAAAACTATATTCAAAAATCACATTCCATAAACAGATCATGTTCATTAAACAGTTTTTCCTCCCTTTGAAAACCCAAATTAACCAATTCAAAAGGGAGGAAAAACGGTTTAATGAACATGATCTGTTTATGGAATGATTTTTGAATTAGTTGCACCAAATAAAGATAGGACACACAATTCCATTACATATATTGCTGACAGGAAATAAATATCTATGGATATTATCCTGGTTATGCCAGACATCCAGAAAGATCTATGGCACGGGGCTTGTGTACCTACAACAGCACAAATTTATACATGTTATAACCCTAGGCAAGCAGGGCAGCCTAAAGATACATGGAGAAAACAGCAGAGAGGATATGGGCTCAGATATCCTCTTAGGTGCATGCAGGTGCACTGGATGAGAGTAACTAAACAAACAGAAGATACCCTAGTTCTCTCCTGTGACGGATGTATACTAAAAGAAATGGCACGTGTTGAAATTAAACAGTTGACTCAAAAGCAGCTTTTTAAAAAAGAAAAAAATTATTTTAATTTACAATGGCGTGGAAGCAGTCTGGTGCATTTTCACCTTTAGAAGTTCTGCAAAGTTGGACTATTGGCATGTTCATAATGTACCAACACAGTTTTTTCCACGTTTCAAAGCAGTATGTAGAGCTGCCTCATTGCTCACATAATTACCTCCTTTTGAAGCTCAGAAAGCTGAGACATGAGGCTATCAATTCGCAGGCGGCTTTCCATAACCTCCTCCCGAGAGCTGTTTGCTGCAGAGCTGTTCATTTCGGAAGACAGCCTGGCGTTCTCCAGCTGAAAAGCAAATATACTTTCTCAAACACACCAAATCAGGAAGTGTACCAAATACGGACATTTCACAAGTCCATTAATTTCAAAACCACATACAGGAATTGGTAGATTTCCTAAGGAAATGCAGTCACTATACAGAATGTTAACACAATTTCTCTCTTTTTTTTAAATTAACAAGAGAAAAAAAAAACGCTTGTCAGGTAATCGTGTCAATTTATACATGCACACAAACATAGCTTGGTTTAAAAACAATTCAAAGTATTGCTACTCGTATGACAGTTTCACAACATACACTTGCGAAATACAACGCAGGGAAAAGGAAAGAGGGAGACAGAAAAAAATAAAGACATGCAGAAACTTTCATAGAACTAGCAAAGGCAGTCTCCGTTCCATAACCACTACAGCTTAATGTAGTTATAGATCTTGCAGGCTACTAACACTGTCCCGCTGTTTGTAGATGCATATACACAGATGTTAAAGATACTGCAAACAATTTTAACCATTATACATTTCCCTACCTTAGCTTGATAGGTGTTCTCAAGCTCTTCTTTGTAAATTTTAACTTGCTCCTCATGTTGAGTTCTCATTTCAACAAGTGCCTGGGCAAGCTTATGTTCATATTCCATTACCCGACCAGAATCCACCTCCACCAACCGAGTCTCATGCTTCCTTCGAGTTTCCTTAATTTCCTGTAAAAGAACCATACATACAAATATAGAAAGAAAAAAAAAAATCATAAGACGACTCAGAGGAACAGGGAATTATGAGAGATGAGCTTATTTCTACATTACTACTAGATAATCTAAGAATTTTGAAGAATAGGCCTGGGGAATGAAAAGAAAAACACAAAAAACACAACTAGTCTCATAAGGTATCTGTGCATGACTTTGCTTGTGAACTGTTATTTGTAACCAAGATCACCGAAAATGCAAACATTTACCAAAGTAAATGGAAGCCGACACTCTTTTGTAACTATTTTCCCCCACTTTCAATGAGACTATAGTAAGATGCTGTATTTCTACATGTCCAGTCAGCTCTTAAAATATATCTTTCTGGGTCCATAGAAATTGGGTTTCATCTAAAGAGAATTCAAATTTCATCTAAAACAAATGCTAGCACAGGCTTAAAGTAACTTATTGCTAAATTATAGGATCCATGTGTAAATTTCTACTTCCCAGCGATTAGATTTCACTCAATGGCTAGTGGCACATTTGAACCTTGTGCTTACATGCAAGCAAATGTAGAGATTAATACAGGGCTCAACAAATCCTAGGCGCCAGGACAAATCACCATGGCGACCTGAGATTTGTCATCCCTCAGCATACAGTTTTAAGCAGAGGAGTAAGTAGCGGGTAATCTCCAATGGGTGGTTCTTTTGCTCCCTGTCACTGTACTACTCCCCCTTCGAGAGTGAGAAATGGTTGCAGAGACAGTATAAGACATTTTAGTGCCAAATTGCTAACAGAGGGTGCTAGTGCTAGGCGAGCAATGCTTCTAAAGCTCCAAGAGCATAGAAATATACAATATCTATGATAAATGATATCATAACAGCCTTGGGATGGTTTGTATTTTAAATAAGACATTTTTTGCTTGAAGCAGAGAGCCATTAGAAAAATCAGTACTGGCTGAAGTAGTTCAGCAATTGTTTTGGTTGTAAGAGGTCACTGCAGGATCAGAGCCTGGCATATGTAACTTTCTAATAGATATATTAGAGCATCAACGTTGAAACTTTTTAGGAGTAATTACCTCTTCAAACATATTTTTACGGAACTCAAGCTCTTCAGATAGAGACTGACAGCGATTTTCAAGATCCACTTTTAACAATGTTTCATCGCCAACCTGCTTCCTCGCCATTGCTAAGGCAGCTTCAAACTAGAGGGAAAGAGAAAAAAAAATATAAAGTACAAAATGGAGACTGCTTTAAATTGTGAAATTAACATTTAAATATACAGGCATCTTCTATAGCAAAGGACACAATCTAATTTGCAGCAACAATGTTAATAACAAAACCACTGATAGAGTCAGCTTGTGATGTCATGTAAAACAAGATCATTTGAAAGTAGAATGATTACAAGATCTAGAGAAAGAAATAGGAAAAAACAATGTGTTGAGATATGACAGATGTAAAAAGCACCAAACCCATTATTAAACGGAGGCAACTTCCTACCTGAGACAGCTCTGCTTTAAGATCTTCCAGTTCCATCGCCAGGGATTTGTTCTCGCCTTGTGCAGTGGCCAGGGCTGCATCTTTGGAGTTGAGGAGAGTTTCAATTTCACGAAACCGGCTTTGTAGGGAAGTGAAATCAGATTCCTTCTTAGAGTAGCTGTTAAGGAGAATAAGCATTTGATTTAAAAAAAAAAAAAAAAAAAAAGTGTTTCAAATTTAGAAGAATGCTTGAAGGCAAAAAGTATGTTAAATTATTGTAGACAGGGGAGGACAGTACTTTACAGGGCCCTGGGTGATAAGCAAACATACAATCACCACTCACAAGTGTATCCTTGGGTTATAGGATATACCTTTTAAAATTATATTTCTCACAAGTGGTTCAGTAGGAACTACAACTTGTCTGCAGCCCCAGTAGGCTTCTCCTTCCAGCCAGTGCTGTGAAAAGCAGGAGAACGCTGGCGTGGTAACCTGTAGTAGGTGAAGACCAATTTTTTTTAAAGTCTCCCTCTATCATGCATCAGAGTGGGGTGGCCAGTGATTGAAATCTTTGATCTGCCCACCAGCAATGTAAGCCCACTCTGGGCCAAAGCTTGAGTAATGTCAGCCAGTGAGATCCATTGATCTTCTTGGCTCACAAGGCATTTGCCTGGTGTGTTTAATGGCCACACAGGGTCGTGGATGCCACTGACCCATGACAGAAGATAAATAGGTGTATCGACTGAAAAACAATGCAACAGCCTAAACTAAATACACAGCAAATCTCCACTCATCAGTTCAGATATTGGCCTGGTCATTAACCAAAGTTTGAATCTCTTTGAGGGGTTTTGTGACCTCAAAAATGTTGGGAGTACTTTTTTTCCATAATTTAAAGGACCACTCTAGGCACCCAGACCACTTCAGCTTAATGAAGTGGTCTGGGTGCCAGGTCCAGCTAGGGTTAACCCATTTTTTCATAAACATAGCAGTTTCAGAGAAACTGCTATGTTTATAAATGGGTTAAGCCTTCCCCCTAATCCTCTAGTGGCTGTCTCATTGACAGCCACTAGAGGCGCTTGCGTGCTTCTCACTGTGATTTTCAAAGTGAGAGCACGCAAGCGTCCATAGGAAAGCATTATGAATGCTTTCCTATGTGACCGGCTGAATGCGCGCGCAGCTCTTGCCGCATGTGCACATTCAGCCGACTCGGAGGAGGAAACCTCCCCACCCAGCGCTGGAAAAAGGTAAGTTTTTACCCCTTTCCCCCTTCCAGAGCCAGGTGGGAGGGGGTCCCTGAGGGTGGGGCACCCTCAGGGCACTATAGCGCCAGGAAAAAGAGTATGTTTTCCTGGCACTATAGTGGTCCTTTAAAGAAATACTTCAGGCATCAGAGCTCACTGCAACATTTTTCAATGTTTTGTACAGGTTATCTAAAAAGGACATTAGGAGTTACAGCTTCAGAGAAATACCGATACAAGGGTGTCAGCTCAAAAAAAAATAAAAAAAATAAATAAAAATTGATGATATTTGAGTTTCAATAATGGTGTGTGGGAGAGATGGGTCTCAAAAAAAAAAAAAAAACCCACCAAAATTTAGGAAATGGTAGAGAATGCTAATCTGTAAGTGCCTGGTTAGCAGTCATTACAAATAAGCAACATGAATACTTCCAAGGCTATCAAAATACATTTGTAAAGGAACACAGTCTGACTTCTTCAAAAGTTTTTGAAAAAAAGAAAGAAACACCTCTACCTAGGTGTGTATGGACCCAACTACGTTTGCTTACTGCACATAAACAGGCCTAACTGTAAAAGGACTACCCTGGCACTCTAGTATCACAACTAAGTTGTTGTGGTGTGGCAGTTTCAGATGCTGTCTTGCTTAGAGGCGTTAAACCAGTGGTTCCCAAACTTTTACATTCAATATTTTTCCAAGGCGCCCAAGTCAAAAATTTCTGGGTTGTATACATGTACAGTGCTGCAGCATATACTGGGCCCCTGTTAAGCAGATAGGTTTCCCGTTCAGCGGCGGAACCAGAACCTAATCTCGGAAAGGGCACTGGTAGGCTATTTAAAGAAACAATCCAGGCACAACCACTACAGCACTCTGTAGTGGTTATGGTGCCAGGAGTGCAGGTGCCCTCCCAGGGTAAGTAGTCAAACTGTTTATGAACAGTTTTACAACTTACCTGCGATCTGCTGGGATAGGAGCAGTAGTTTGTGTGTGAAGGATGAAGTGTGAGGGTTGCAGTGTGTGTATGGGGGGAGCTTTTGTGAGTCTATGGGGAGGAGGACAGATTAAGAGCACTTCCCTCCCACCCCCCTTTACCTGGGAGTAGGGACAGTACTAAACCCTGGTGGTCTGGTGGGGAAGCCCTGGTGGGTCTAGTGGTAAGAGTTCACTCTCACAAGATTCTGAGCTTTTCTATGATAACCACAGCAATGTTTCAAGTTTGCGAGAGGTGAACCTGCAGGTTAGAGCTTCCAGGTGCTCTCCCTCCCCTGCAGCATTTCAGTGCTAGCAGGCTGGTGAAGATCTCTGATCTACCCTTTGGTCCTGTAGGGGAGAACGAGGCACGGCACGCTGTAATAACACCGGGGAAATATTTTGCGGCAACCCTGTTTGGGAACCGCTGGGTTAAACCATTAGACCTAGCATCATCCTTGGTTGATCTGAGGCTTCAATCAGGAAGCCTCAGACTGGGTGCCTAGCACTAGCACCCCAATGAGCAAACAGTTCAGAAAAAAAAAAAAAAGTTGGGGCAAGCATCATTAATCAAGAAATAAAAACATGCTCTTATCCTCTTTTATTTGCATGCTTTCGTTATTCTGACTGCCAGGTACAAAGGACTGAGCTTGTAATTATGATTGACATGAGGCTAAGAAGATGACAATACTAATAACCAAATTGCTGCCAACAGTGGCACAGAATTTCATTGGCTGTACAAGGTTAAAACAAATTTGGTTTGTACTGTGTTTTATATGCTACATTCTGTACTTCTACCTTACATCGTGTTCTCAAAACAAATAAAAAAAACACAAACACCCACGGCTGTAAGTACAATACATCTGCAGTATTTGTACATGATAAAACACTTCTAATTAGATGCAGGCCATAATATGAACTACAATTTAACCAGATACCTGAAATACATTTTGCATATCAAAATCCTCTTTATTGTGAATCATAAGAGACACTAGGTGGCACCCATGCACTTCCAACAGTTTAATTATTTTATCAATCTTATGTCTATCTGTCTATACGCCCACCTCTGATGCTCGCCTTCAAGATTTCCCGAGGCCTGCACTGTTCCTGTGGAACTCTTCCCGCCTCCGTTAGATGCTCACCCAGTCTCCACTCCAAAAAAAAAAAAAAATCGTTAAAAACCCCACTTCTTCTTACAAGCGTATCAATTAAACTGTTAATAACTCCCGACTGATTCCTCTTCTGCAACTGTCAGTCTAATACTATCCTTACCTTTTGTGTCATTTACCCCACTCCCTCTAGCATGTAAGCTCATTGAACAGGGCCCTCAACCCTTCTGTTCCTGTGTGTCCAACTGGTCTGGTTACAACATATCTGTTTGTCCACCCATTGTAAAGCGCTGCGGAATTTGATGGCGCTATATAAATAACATAAATCAATGTCTTCAGTACTCGTCTGTTTCAAAGTGAATTTAAAATTTATAGCCAGAATAGCCATAGTGGATGCATAACTGACTTAGAGAATTCTTCCAGTTTGGCAATTTTAAATGCAATTTGAGTTCTCACTTTATTATAGACCGGGTTATTTGCTAAAGTGAGATATATTTTTTTTTGGCAGAAGTGTACTTTTGAAATGTAAAACATATTCTGATGCCTTTGGATCTACAAGTTCCAATGGAGTCCAAACCATCTCCCAAAACAATCTACCAGACTAATTAGCCTCACAATATAAAAAAAAAAAAAGTGCGCACTATTATTGGTATTTATATAGCGCCAAATTATTCTGCAGCGCTTTACATTAAAAGGGGAATTTAACAAATGAGACAATAACAAAATGTTACAGGTTACAATAGGTAGAGGAGTTCTCTGCTCAAACAAGCTTACATAAACTTCAACACAAAAATAAATGGTAAACTATAGTGCCAGGAAAACAAACCCCCTATTCCTGTAACTATAGCTTCCCCCTCTGTCATAAACCTTGTCACTTACCTAGGTCAAGCACAGATGTAGATCGGTGCTGGCTCTGGTCCTCCTTCCCAACTGCCTGAAAGACCCTCTAGTGGCTGTCTGATAGACAGCCACTAGATGTGGAGTTTACCCTGGCAGGTAATTATTGTAGTTTCTTAAAAACTGCAATAATTTACTGGTTACGGTTCAGAGACCAGGGATATTGCACCCAGACCACTTCAAAGACCTGACGTGGTCTGTGTGCCTATAGTGTCCCTTTTAGAACAAGAGTCAGGGACTTTAAAAGATTTAATTAGCTGAACCTGTACCTTCCGGGTGCCGCCATGGCATTTTGGCCCTTCCGCTCCTGACATTTCAGCACCAGACGTAACTGCTGCTCTCCGATACATGCATAAGAGTACAGCATCGAGTCTATAGAGAAGATTCTGTGAGAACCTGCATTAGATACATGTAGTTTCTCTGCAGCAGTCACTGGAGATAGCTGGAAGATCAACACTCTAGACAACAGTAGCCCTCACCCAGTATCTAGAAGCAAGAGGCATAAGAAACATTAAACAGACGCTCCTACTTTGTCTCAATGTATCTTATGAAAGAGTTGGTAATACCAAGTCAGTATGAGTATTTCATAAAGATTTTTAGCTTTATGAAATACTCAATTTTCAAGTGAAGGGTATGCTGCGTACGGGTTATTGCGGTCATAGGGTTAAAGGTAGCGTAGTGTTTAGGTTAAGATTAGTGTAGGCATGTAGAAACCCTTAAATTAAATTACACTGGAACAAACCTGTAGGCCAAGTTCCAGATTTTATTTTGGTTCTGAAAGTGGACAATTGTCTGTCCTTAAGGGATTAAAGGGAATAAGATTAAGCAAGTAAACCATCAATAAAACCAAAAAATATATATTATCCACTCTGCTTCTTTAACAGAACAAGATGCCTCAGTGATATGGGACACTAAACTTGCACGTTCACCTTAAAATGAGGACAGACATATGCAAATAAATATTCAGTAATTCCCAACCAGGAGAAGTGAAGCCCAAGAGCTGGCTGGGGGGGGGGAAGCATGGTTGCTTCCTAAAGAATTCTGTGGATACAGAAGCAGGATATGAAAACTTTTAAAATAAAGAAACCCACAGATTAGTTTTTAGATTTCGCTTACCAAGTATGCGTAAGTATACATACATGCACACAAAAAAAATAAAGTATACACACGCTAAAATAAAAGCTAAACATTTGCATAGTAATTATATACCGTATACACTAGAGCAGGGGTAGGCAACCTTTTAGCAGCACTGTGCCGAAATAAGATTGTTATGGCCCATAGCGTGCCAGTCCTATTTTTTTAAATTGAGGTGTGCATGTTGCCATATTGTGGTTGTGTTATTTATACTGCAGTTGCTTTGTATCCTTGTATTTGTGCATGTATGAGCTATTATATTGTATATGTTCATGAGTAGCATGTGGTATTGTGTAAATAAACCTATGAATGTGGGCTGCTTGTAGAATTGTGTGTGTGGATGGATATGTCACATTGTATGTTTGTTAGTGTGTGTATGTGAGGGGCTGTTTGGGGTATTGCATGTGAGAGGCTGCATGTGGGGTTGTGTGCATGCATGTGGATTGTCGGTGGTGTTGAGTTTGTGTGGATTGCGTTTGGGCTGTTTGCATTATTTGTATGAGGGGAGGGTTACTCTGCATATCTCTGTATATCTAGCAGTGTGGGTGGCTTCCCTGTGTTCCAGTGGAGACCAGGCTGGCCAGGTACAGATCAAGGACAGGAGCTGCAACAGCAGCTGTGGGGTGCTCTATTACAGTGTGGATTCCCATTAACAAGTGCTGGATGGAAGTGATCTGAGATCCCCTCTACATGCTGCAATGCATAAATTGAGGATTGTCATTCAACAGCTTTTCGTATTAGCAGATCTTTTAGTTTTACTGGGACTCCTGATAGGCCAGAGCCTGTTTGGCTCTAGCAGCCTTGAATGCTGTGCAAAGACACCTTGAGTGCCGTGCATGGCACTAGTGCCATAGGTTGCCTACCCCTGCACTAGACTTCTACTCGAGTCAAGGTCTGTATTATGGCAACTTACATTGCCATAATACAGACCAGGACCGCTGGGCTCATTACAAGCCCGGCGGTCCTGTTGGGGGCTGGCAGAGAGCTGTAACTTACCTTTCCTGCAGCTCTCTTCTCTATCCTCCGGTCAGCTCCACTGTAAATCTTGCGAGAGCCGCGGGGAATGCTCCGTGCGGCTGCAAGATTTACAGTGGAGGAGAAGGGAGCTGACAGGAGCTGCAGGAAAGGTAAGTAACAGCTCTCTGCCAGACCCCCCTCCTGCACGGTCCATCCACTGGACCACCAGGGAATGAGAGCCCCCCCCTCCCTGGCCAGCTAACAAGCAGGGAGGGGGACGAAAATATAAATAAAATATATTTAAAAAAAAAATTATAAAAATGCCCAACCCCCCACCAAGGCTCTGCAAAACACACAGAATGCATTCATTATATACACACACACCTTAAACATTCAATTAATATAGGTTTTTTTTTTGGGGGGGGGGGGACTAATTTTATTTAGAAATTTACCAGTAGCTGCTGCATTTCCCACCCCAGTCTTATACTAGATTCAATAAAGTTTTCCCAGTTTTTTTGGGGGAAAATTAGGGGTCTCGACTTATATTCAAGTCGACTTTATACTCTAGTATATATGGTAATCAGCATCACACACACAAAAAAAAATCCAAAATTACACTTCAAACACCTGCTCTGTCATCTCAAACGGTATGTCTCATTAGAATTTGGTTTCACCAAATGGCAAGCACAGCAATGGCCTTCAAAGATCAAATTCAACATGTGTAAAAATCATCCCAGACATTCCAGCTCAATAACCAGAGCCCTCCTCCCCCCAGCACCTCATCGGTCAATGATAGTACACAGTGTAGACAGTCGCTCATTCATCACATATGGCTGCAGGTCACATGCAGAACAGGGAGGGCTTAATGCAGAACAAACTCAGCAGTATTAGCACACACAAAAAAAAAACAAAAAACCCATCTGTTCATCCGGTATGAGTTTAAGCAGGATACAGACCACAGCACGCAAAGCCAGTTAGCAGGTGGATTTAATAGACAACTTAAACAAAATTACATTCATACGTACTACCATAATCATTGTTTGCCACTAGATAAATACATTTTAGCTTCCACACAACTAGGGACATCATATTCTTTTATTATGTCTCATCTATATCAAAAGGGGTCCAAAGCAATAAAAAAGTAACAATGTACTGTATGGGTATGCCAGGTCCACACCTTAGAGTACATATTGACATTTCACAAGTTATCCGATACTTTTCATAAAGTCAGTTACCAACATGGTCTGCTTAACGCAGTTCATTTTTATTAAAAAGTTTTATTTACCTACTGTTACATATCCCTCTTTGCACCCCAAGTCTCACTGTTGCCAACATCATTCAGGAAAGATGCTATGTCTGCTGACGCTTTCCTTTCATGTGACCAGCTATTACAGCATACAAAGAAAGACCATGCCGTTAACATCCCCATTTCCACAATAATTGTAGAATGAATGCAAGAGCTGCAGTGCTGTAATGTCACACACCTTTGTAGTACTAAAGAGATATTCTGTTGAGGGACATACACATTAAGGATCGACCGAAATTGATTTTTTAGAGCGGATACCGATAATCTGTGACCTTTCAGTCGATAACTTACCGATACTCTGTATATTTACCGTTTTGAAAAAAAAATAAAATCCTACACAAATCTATTGTTAACTGAACAGGTTTGTTTTTCCTAATTTTTTAAAAAAGTTAAATGCACAAAATTTACATGACGGTCAGAATTGTTTAGGTTTTCAAGAATATATGTATGTAGTGGATACAGTGAGCAGATTTGATTAGTGGATGCAGTGTGTGTAAATATCTGGGGTAGATAGGGTTGTAAGGGCACTGGGGTAGATATTGGAACATGGACTCCTAGCTTACCCCCACACTTACCAGTCCACGCCACATGCTAAGCTCTGCCCCCATTGTTCTGTCTGCATAATCGACAATATCGGTATCTTTATAGGCTGATACCGATATTGCTGAAAATTCTGAATATCAGTCAGACCAATAATCGGTCGATCCCTTATACACCGTATGATTGTCTATGGTGTGAAAGGAGCTTTCCAGATTGAATTGTATGCATTACCACAATTATCCCTTGAATTTCCCTCTGCTTGTTTTCCCCAAGTTAAAACAAACTTCTGATTTTCACCCCAAGATTTTGGCCCGACCACTCAGACAGACAATCTCTTGTCTGCAATTTGGAAAAGATGGCATATACACTAGACTTGAGCAAAGGTTTGTTTGATCTGGTTCATCTGAAATCACATTCCTTTGAATCCACACCTGAACAAATTAGTCGATCTGATAGTGTGTGGATTTGATTCATATGAACAGGCACAAACTCTTGCTAAAATCTAATTTACACATTTTGCTTTAGTATGGCCACTAACTCAACAGAACTCAATGGATTACTTGTCATTGCATATATTTCTATTTATTTTATTCCCAAATAAGATTAAAAAAAAAAAAAATTCTCTCTATAAGAATAAAGAACTTTTTAACCAAATCCTGGAGTGCCGATAGATACACATACACACAGCGCTTTGATTTTTTTGAATGCAGAGAAAAGGCAGTGTTTACATTGCCCCTAGGGACACTTCTGAGGGGCTTCCTGGCTTAGGGCTGCACAGTTCAGCGGGACTTTGTCGTCGAGTGTCTGAAACTAAAATGGGACATGCAACTTCCCGAACACTGGTCAAACTTTGGGAACACCTGCTTCCTTTCCCCAACCAGCCAGGAGAGCGCTGTTCGGTAATTTTGTTCCCACAAGCTAAGGGAGCAAACGCTACTATGAGCCAGTGGGTACGTTTCGTGGATTTATTCGGTTTTAAGACTTTTCTAAATAGACCTCCATGAAACTCCGGAACCCCTCAACTGATGTTTGGGTACCTGTCTACTTTGCTGGGAGAATACACTTGTGAAGCCGACATTCGTATGGAGAATCGTTCAAACCAAACACCCGAACTGCGAGCTATAATCACTGAGGCTCTAGCAGTTTGGGAGGAAAAAGGCGAACGGGCATCTGCTATACCAGCGTTTGTTATAGCCCCTAATGCTTTGCAATTCGCGAGGCACACCAATGTTTTTTCAAGGCTTCTAACTTTTAGCCCTGGGCTCAAACTATAGGGAAGTTAGTCAAGAATGCAGCAAGCCACTTTACCACATCTGTAATATGTATGAAAATGATGAACAGAAGAACAGCAACTGCATTTAACAATTTCTAACCTAGTCTTTGTTAATAGTACCTGCATGATACCAAAAAAAATGCATGGTTTACTAGGGGGAGGGATAAGTTGACCATCATGTGGGTGTAAAACAAATAGCCACAAAACCATTCCTTGTTACATAATGGCTAATTGGAGCCCAGTTATCCACAGAGAAGCAAACTTGTTTTAGCTGTGCAAGTATCACATAACACACTGGCCCCAATCCAGAAGCAGCTGCCACTGCAAGAGCTATGACCTGAGTACAAGTCAAACAGCCACGACTTGCTGACATTGCAGTGATATCTGGTAAAAATTAGACCAAGATATTCAGAGTGTCCCTACCACTTGCATAGTAATCTAGTAATAATCATAGTAATCACAAATAAATAAAATCATATCCAAGTTCAGCATTTCATATGCATTTATGCTGTTAACCCAAAAGAGGGGGAGGGGGACTGAATTGTGCCCCAAAAAGGAGTTGGTGGTTAAGTTTTGATAAGGGTAGGATTAATCAACCCTACTATAACTGCAGTTAGATCATTAAACTACAAGCTTCACCATATCACATCTTGCCCACTTTCACTTTAAAAAAAAAAAGTCATTAACCCAGAAAGATGACTGGATTTTAAATGTTAGACACCAAAATGCATGGGTAAAACATTAGGGGAATGTTTCAAATAAAACAGATCTCCTGGTAAAACATTTTCACATAAATCATTCACTTGCAAAAGCACACAGACTATTAGGCATTACTTTGACACTATGCTAAACACAAACAATTCTATGGCAGGAACGGGAGATTACAATTTTTCAAGCAATATAACAGGGTTATTCCTTTCAAAATAGCCAAAATGGAATAGCTGATTGGAATTTTTCTTCAAATTGATCTATTTAGCTATATCCCTTCAGTTATGCATTCATTTTGGGCCTTAAATTTGAAGTTCATTTTGAATTCTGACTTTTAGAAATAACACTGCAGTCTAGTAGAGACCTCAGTGGGGGGGTGGGGAGGGGGAGATTCACAGAGTATTACGGGTAAGACTCCACATTAATGACCAAGGTCAACATAATAGGAGACACTGAATTCTACAAACTACTCAACACTATACTGGGCAGCATTGTTTAGCGCCAAATGTGATCTACATTATTTTACAGGCAGGAAATAGGGCGGGTGTGTCAGTCTAAGAGGTCTATAGCAATGAATGAGAAGTAGAGAAAGTGAACATATACAACGCCCAGATCACTGCATTGACAGAAGTGAACCAAATCCCCTGTCCTGGAGTAGAAAAAAAAAAAAAAAATAGTAAACAGATTCCAACATAATAAAATGAGCACACGTGCACAAAGTTATATCTTGTATGCAAAATACAATTTAAAAAACAGAACATTTTTCCATAGCCAGTACACTGGCTCTGCCATAGATCGATCAGTAGACTGTCTGCTGACAATGTGTTAACAGGGAACCCCCTCCAGTTCATTGAATAGTGGTAGGGGGAGGGGTAATTACTACAGTCACAAGATTTCAATCCAGCTACTGAAAGACAAAGACACACATCCAGGAATGGGTACATCCATTTTAAGAGAATTTTTACATATATTTTCCTTGCATTGACAAGGCAAAAAAAAACACAACAAAAACCCCACACGTAACCCTGTCTGTGTAACAAAGTGATCACATTACACCGCTTCCAGTCTACTCTCCGTGTATGGAGCATACTGACACCCCCAGCTTTATGAACCACCACTCATGTCACCCAGCCAGCGCTGTAGATGTGACAAAATGCTCTCATTGTCTGACTCTCTGTATTAATGACCCCCCCAGCTCTTTGAACCACCACTCTCACGATGCCCAGCCAGTGCTGTAGTGATACAGTGCCTGTGTTAGGGACACTCTGCATGAATGAACCCCCCCCCCCTCCTCCTCTTCCTCTTCCCCTGTATGGATGAACTCCAGACAATGCTTTGCCGTCTCTCCCCCCCGCCACCCCATTTGATTCACCACTCTCATGACGCCCAGCCAGCGCTGTAGTAAAGTTGCTCACATGGCGTTTCCCCAGACCGGTTCTCTGTATGGATGTATGGATGAATGACCCCCCCCCCCGGCTCACTTGTTAAGGAGCTGATCGTGGTCCGCCCTCAGCTTGCCCAGCTCGATCTGCAGCTTGGCCCTCTCCCGGGCCGTGTCGTCCAGGCTCCTGCGGGCGTCGGCCAGCTCGGTCTCGTACAGCACCTTGATGCCGGTGACCTCGCGGCTGCGCCCCTCCTCGCGCTCGGTGACCTGCAGTTGCAGCACGCTGTTCTCGCTCTCCAGGCTGCGCACTTTGTCGATGTAGACGGCCAGGCGGTCGTTGAGCTCCTGCAGCTGCTCCTTCTCCTGCATGCGGGAGATCCGAGTGGGGCTGAGCGGGGTGCCCACGGCGCTGCGCCGGGCGGACTGCCTGGGATTGCTGGGAGTGGAGGTGGCCATGGCTCAGTCCGTTCAGGGAGGCTGTGCGCGCGGGTCCTAGCGGCCGGAAGCTGTGTGTCGGCCTGACAGGCTGCAGGGATTCCCCCTATTATAGCGCACTATTTACAATAAATGGCAGCACGGTGTGCCCTGGATCCCGCTGCCCCCCCTCGATAGGCTCAGCGGCGAGTAAAGAGGCGGGGCCTCAACATGGCGCCAGAATGTCATGTGACCGCCCGCAGCCAATAAGAACGCAAAACCCTCCCACCGGCCGCGTCTGAGGCAAAATTCAAACTGTAACTGTGAGAGCAGTGGGGGAGGGGAGCGGCTCAGAGCGGCCTGTCTGTGGGCTGTCTCTCTTTGTAGCCCATTCTCTGACAGTTTATCAGTTAGTGCAGATGTGTGTGAGCATGCTGCTCACAGGGCAGTAGGCAGCTAGAGTGGAAGGCAGAGGATATTGTTTATCACACTGCATACTGGGTGTGTGTGTTGTCATTGTTGCAATAAAGCTTTATTTTTATTTATTTTTTAAAAGAGTCCCCCCCTCCCCCCTGCTGTGACACTAGAACAGCTGCATGACAGCAGGCTCCTATTTCTTGTACTGTCAGGTTTTATACCATGAAAGAGCCTGCAGCAGGAATGAGTTATGGACAGGGGGGCAGGGTGACCTGAGTTTGTGACAGATTTGTGCAAATCCTATGGGTTCAGTGACATAGTCCTATAAAGACCTGGGTAGGATATAAAATGTGTAGCACTGTGCACTAAAGTAACTAGATTGTAAGCTCCTTTGAGCAGGGCCTTCTTCTCCTCTCGTCTGTTTTGTAGTATTATTTTTGTCTGTAAGCTACTAGTTGTTAAAGGGTTCATTTTAACACGGTGACTGCTTTAGTATTTTGAAGTGGTCATGGTGCTTGGAGTCTGTATGCGCAGTGTATCAGTATGAAATGCTGCACATAGAGATATATGTTATATTGCTGACGCAGTTGTAATTCGACCAGCAGCGTCATTATCCCGCTATCCCCACCTGTCATTGAGCTCTACTACAGCTCATTGCGAAGCACAGGAACGTGACACACTCAATGAGAGTCCTTTGATTGGTCATTTTTCAGGCACAGACCTAAAGTTTGTACCCGGGAAAGAGGGGAGGCTTTACAGTCGAATGTTCCTTTAAGCATGTGAGGTAGGGCTAGTGCGCTGTATAGGTGGGAGAATATGACCTGCTCAGGGTATGTGGTTGGGAGGGTGGCCGAATGACGATATTACTTTGTGGAAGCAGATACGCGGTGTGTGTGAATTTGTCATGTTAATGGTTGTAAATGACAGGTAGGCCTGGGGATACGTGACAGGGAGGGTGGGGGCAAGTAATCAGGAAATTAAGTGGGGGTATATTACAATGTGAATAGATGTAAGTGGTTGGTGGTGAGCTGGGGGTATGTGAGTGGAAGTTTTTGTAAGTGACTGACTGGGAAGTGAGGTGCGGGTTACAAAGTGGTGTATGTGTCTATGGACTATAAGCTCGTTTGAGCAGGGTCCTCTTCAACCTATCGTTCCTGTAAATTTTCTTGTAATTGTCCTATTTATAGTTTAATCCCCCCTCTCATAATATTGTAAACCACTATGAAATCTGTTGGCGCTATATAAATGGCAATAATAATAAAAGACTGGTAAGTGAGGTGCGGGTGACTGTATGTGTTTATGGCAGTAAGTGGCTAGTGGTGAGCTGAATGTATATGAATGAAGGTTCGAATAAGTGACTGACTGGGAAGTGAGGTGGGGTGACAAAGTATATGCATGTGTCTAAGTGACTGAGAAGTCAGGTTGGGGTGGCAGGGTGTATGGGTTATAATGGCAGGAAGATAGCTAAGAATTTGCTGACAGCCTGGGAGTGCAGTACGTAAGGTAAGGAGAAGATTATGAAAGGGACACTAAACAGCAAAAACAATTCATCTCCCCTTTTGTCTAAATAATGGAAATTTGAAAGTCTTCCAATTCTTCTCGTAGAGAAACATTGCATTCAATGTGGAGATTAGCTGTGCGAAGTATTGGATTGAACAAAAGACATCAGAATTGATTAATTCACCAGAGGAGGAACGACTTCAGAGAGGAGGCTGACCCATCATTGGCTTACAGGAGGTAAGTTAAGGCCTTTTTAAATCTACATTTCTACTTCAACAAAGAATCTCAGGGCTATTTACTAAAATGAGAATTTCAAGTGAATTTCAAATTTAAGGCCAGAGTACCTGAGCTGAAAGTAATATGTACAGGGTTATTTACTAGAGTGTGAATTCAAAGCAAATTCTAAGTGAGTTTTAAAATTAAGACCAGAGTAGCTGAAATGAAAGTATAGCTCACTTAGAAGCAATTTCCAGTTCCACCATTTGAACCCTACATTTGAAATCAATTTTGAATTTACCTTAAATTTTCACTCAGTGAATAACTCTGAAAAAGCATAAGGTTTGGTGTTTGGGAGAGCTGGATATTTGTATGTATAATATCTGATCTTATGGTCTTTTTTTATTTATTTTTTATACACACAGTTAATAAACCATTACTAATGGACTAAATAAGACTAGTTATGGTTTGTGCAACATTGCATGCTACACTGTTACTGTATACTCTAATGTATAGGTAGTGTAGGTATAGGTAGTGTAGGAATGCCTTTACAGCAGAAAACGCAGAGTCAGGAGTACAGGAACAAAGCATGAAACAGAGAAACAGACAGGATTACGGATATCAGAATAGTCAGGACAAGCCAAAGTCAAAACCAGGTACACAAAATATTAATAGCAATGCACTCTCCAGCACTAAATCCACCATAATGTGTCGCAAGAAGGGTGAAGGAAATTTAAAAAGGTGCAGGGAACTTCCTAATTGCTGGTTTAACTTTCCCACTCCAGAAATTGCATTGAAAGTGACACTGGAATGATACCATCGAAACCAGTATTTTAGGATGATGCTGGTTGCCAGTGTCACTAAAGGTATTACAGTGGCAGCATTCAGTGTCAAAACTGATGCAGGAATGACACAGAGCAACGTCAGTTTCAGTAGCAAATCCTGCATCAAAATTGTTGAAGGAATGATACACGACCAGAGAACAGATACACTGATGGGTGCAAGAGAGACAGGTACTGTGGAATTTACAAAGTGAGAGGAAACACATTCTTTTGTACGTCACATGAGCTACGGAATCACCATGCAGTTACAAAACATACTGTGTAGACATGTTTGCAGATCTTAGCAACAGTAACTATGCACATGGAGGTTGGTCTAGAATCTCTACTGTAATGTAACAATCACAAACACTGAAAACCAACAAAGGAGAGGAGAATACACAAGAGAAAATAACAGAGCTTGAAGGGGAAATTAAACGTGTTAAATCTAGCTAATTACAGAATAAATAGTAATCAGGCTGCTAAAGACACCTGGAAAATCTGAAAACATTGAATAAGAGCACAGAAAGAAAGGAAGGCAAGAAAACGTATCACCTGGGAGAATTAGGAATTCATTTAAGAAAGGTTAATTTGGCTGTCAGAAACAATGATGTTATAGATAAGTAGCTGACATCACAAGCAAGTGACCAACAAGAAATATATCTATCTTAATGAGCGGACACATGGACAAAGCACAAACATCAAAAACTGACCATCACTATGTTTGCAAAGAGCCAAGAAAAACTACTCAAGTACATGGAACTCTGAAAACTGTTGGAACCATCACTGACATTAATGGGTAAATGAGACTTATTTCATACTATCACTTTCTCTAATGTTTTGTCTTGAGGTCCTAGAGACACTTTTGTCCTTTACCTTCCCCCTAACCCTTCCCAGGATCATTTTTTCCCAAGACTCCTGGTAAAACACTTGATCTCAATAATAACAGCCTTGTATTCATTTAGACTTGAAATTTCTACAGGGTTGTGCGCAACCCTTAATATAAAAGTTAACTATTCCGATTTACTCTGTTTACCACTAGTGGCTTCTACCTCTCTCATTGTTGTATTTTGATGTTTTGTATTTTTTTTTCTCCTAAAAAGGTGAATGAGTTTCAAAGGCTTACTATCTGATGACCATGAGTATGCTTCCCAATGCTTTGGGCACACTCAGAGGGTTAAATGTTCAAAATGGTTAAAAGCATTAATGCTACCAATAAAGTATGTCAGATTCTTCTGAACTTTTACTTATCACTAGTAATACACTGATCAGCCACAACATTAAGACCACTGACAGGTGGAATGAAAAACATTTTTATATTGTTACAATGGCAAAACATCTCCAAAACAGCAAGTCTTGTGTTACTAGTATGCACTGGTTAGTACCTACCAAAAGTGGTGCCAGGAAGGACAACTGGTGGATCGACCTCAGGGTCATAGGTGCCCATGGCTCATTAATGCACATGGGGAGTGAAGGCTATCCCATCTGGCCCGATCACATAGAAGAGCTACTGTAGCTCAAATTGCTAAAAAACTTGCGGTCCATGATAAAAGGGTGTCAGAACACACAGAGCATCACAGCTTGCTGTCCAGTCAGAGTGCCCAATGATGACCCCTGTGCACCGACGAAAGCACCTTCAATCCGGACATGAGCGTCAGTACTGGAACATGGAGCAATAGAAGAAGGTTGCCTGATCTGATAAATCAATCACGTCTTCTTTTAGATCAGGTGGATGGCTGGGTGTGTATGTATCACTTACCTGGAGGAGAGATGGCATCAGGGTGCATAATGGAAAGAAGGCAGGTCAACTGAGGCAGCGTTATGCTTGTAAACCTTGAGTCCTGACAGTCATATAACTGCTACTTTGACGCGTAACTCCTACCTAGAGATTGTTGCAAACCACATATAGCCTTTCATGGCATTGGTGTTTCCTGCAGGATAATGCAGCCTGCTATACTGCAAAATTTGTTCAGTTCAAATTCCCCAGATCTCAGTCTGATTGGGCATCTGTGGGCTGTGCTGGAACAACAAATCAGATCCATCAAGGCCCCACCTGGCAACCTGCAGGACTTAAAGGATCTGCTGCTACTGTCTTGGTGCCAGATACCAGAGGACACGTTCAGAGGTCTTGTGGAGTTTATGTCTCGACGCATTAAAAAGTAGATCTGGAGGGCAGAGCCAAGCTACTAAACTGAACGGTCGCATGTCTGCAGTGCTCGGGGCATCAAAGGCCTATATTATCGATATTTACAACTTCCACCCCAAATCAAGCTACCCCAACTGGACCCCCAGATTGGCACCAGCACCATGGGTAGGAAAACCATAAAACAGAAGGCGGTTAAGCCAAAAATGGGCATGAGCATCGGCGATATGTGGCGTCAGGCACATGGCGCTTCACTACCTAAGATGGCTTCCTACATGGGAGACGACCAAGCCCTGGAGCCCGATGACCTCCACTTGCCTACCCCACGGGAGCCACCTCTGACTCAGGCACCTGTTGTCTCCAAACTTCTTACCCAGCCAGGGAACATTGCTACCCCAAGACCCAGACTACTTCCCCCACTGTGAGCACACCTATAGTCCCAAGACCAGGGGTCTGCAAACAACCCCTCCCCCTCGGGTCTGAGGGTAATCACCACACCACTAGGACCAATAGAGAAATAGAGGCTCCATACTCAGAGGGATACTGCAAATCACTACAACTTAGCTTACTACTCCACTGTAAATCCAATGTTCACTCTAGTACACACACACTTACATACCTTAGATTAATCTCCTAATGTCTAACATCCACAGGCATAGCCTTTATCTTGTTTTTGTTCTCTTAAGTGTTTACAAGGATGTTTATTATAAAAATTGTGCAGTCTCTACTCATGCTCTGTGCCTAGAGGGGTGTCAGCTACACATTGATGAGGCCCAAAGAAGGCTGAAATTATAGTTCAGGGTTGCAAAGGAAACTTGCTAGCATATCGGTTCTGGACTGTCCTTATGGTTGGGATCAGTCTAATATGTAAGTGGTATAGGTTTCCTTTGTAAGGGCACAGGTGAGCAAAAGCATGTTGAGACCTCAGCGTGGATTAACCCAGAGCAAGCTACTGAGTTTCTCTTAGCTTTTGCCGTTAGAGTTTTCATGTTCTCTGTTTTATAAGAGCTGTTTTGGCAACACAAGGAGTACCTACACAATATTAGGCTGTTTTTTTGTTGTTGTGGCTGATCAGTTTATGTTTTGATTTACATGTTTTTTCCCTCATCAATATATAGTTATATATATTTGTTTACGCTTACGTCTTCAGGAGTGAGACAAAGTGAAGCTAAAAAAATTATGTGATCACTCCTATCTGTTGGAAATGTCTCTTCTATGGAATTTACGTCATTGAATGAAACATCTGAATATCACTTATAACATGCATTAACCTTTCTTTTAACAAAATGCCCAGTTTTCTTTAAAAATTTTATTATATCCACCATGTTTTCAGGGACAAATATCACGTATATATATATAGATGATGAAAAGGGTTGCCCTGTAGTATGTAGAATTCAGTATAAGATGCATAATATTAAAGGACCACTCTAGGCACCCAGACCACTTCAGCTTAATGAAGTGGTCTGGGTGCCTGGTCCAGCTAGGGTTAACCCATTTTTTCATAAACATAGCAGTTTCAGAGAAACTGCTATGTTTGTGAATGGGTTAAGCCTTCCCCTATTTCCTCTAGTGGCTGTCTCATTGACAGCTGCTAGAGGCGCTTGCGTGATTCTCACTGTGATTTTCACAGAGAGCACGCAAGCGTCCATAGGAAAGCATTATGAATGCTTTCCTATGTGACCGGCTGAATGCGCGCGCAGCTCTTGCCGCGCGTGCGCATTCAGCCGATGGGGAGGAGAAGAGCTCCCCACCTAGCACTGGAAAAAGGTAAGTTTTTACCCTTTTCCCCTTTCCAGAGCCGGGCGGGAGGGGGACCCTGAGGGTGGGGGCACCCTCAGGGCACTATAGTGCCAGGAAAACAAGTGTTTTCCTGGCACTATAGTGGTCCTTTAAGTAATTAGGCGATGCCGAATTATGCATAATATGCATTATACATACTGCAGGCAACCTGTTACATAAATGACAACATTTTGTTTACTCCGATCGCAGTAAAAAAAGTGATTTAACTCACGTTTTATCCTTTGCTGCTCCGGTTTTGCGCCATTCTTGCTGCAGCTGGCTCAGCCTTCATGGCTGAGATCATCAATCTTGATAATCTCATCTAATCTGTTTTCCCATAGGAAAGCATTGGGAGGCTATTGCACATGCACTGCTAAAGCCACGCTATGCCAATCAGCATCTCCTCATAAAGATGGATTGATCAATGCATCTCTATGGGGAACCTTCAGTGCATCCACTGAGATAGGAAGCACTTCTGAGTGAATGCCACTAGAAGTGTTCTCGGCAGCAATATTACTCCCCTTTTCCTTTCTGTACCCCATAAACACCAGAACCACTACATTCAGCTATGGTGGTTCTACTGATCATAGTGTACATTTAAAGAGTTGGCAGATTATATTGTAATCCAGTTCAGACAAGACAAGGTCAGGGCAAACAGTGCAAATGAAACATAATTTAAATTCTCGTCTTGTTACTATGTTTTCTTGATGCCAATGTAGAGGACTGAGCTTTTAACTTTAATTGACAGGGAGCAAAAACAGAGGCACCCAGTCGCTGCATGAAGATCTGTTGATTTCTAAATATAATTTTGTTTTTCACACGTTACAAATATATATGTTTTAAATATAGGGATAAGTAAACATGATATTCAAAATCCCGGTTAGTGACAGGTCCAAT